GGGGGGGGGGGGGATGTGGTAGGAAATACAATTCAACCCAGAAAACTACCTAATACCCAGTTTCCTAATGTGGCTGGATTATCTGAGGTCCCTTAAACACAACAGGGAGTTGGGAGGGTGATGACTCAGCCACTGAACCCATATCTATACTTAGAACATACTTGATAAACGTAAGATGAAATTGATTGAAATTTACTTATGAGGCCAATGACTTTACCTGGTCACCGGGACAATACAGAGCTGAAAAGAAGGGGCTTGGTTTAAGGGTTAACACTGAGTGAACAAACTTTGTCCAGATTCTGCTTTCTCTGTCTCCTGCCTTGATGGAATTTTGAGAATATCATATGGTGATTTCACTGTCTCCATTTGCAGTGGCCCAAAACAATGAGTACTGAGCTGCTTGCCATCAATGTTCAACAGTCTCTTATAATAGTTGTAAATTGTTCTCTTTCCTATGCTCTGTTAGGCTGATCTCATCTTGCTTTGCCAATTAGAATCAGAATTGTGAGGCCTCCATAGTAGAACAATGGTGCTAGCACTACAAGGGATACATCTTTCCCTGATGGATTGAGAAAATGGAGTGATTCGGATAAGAACCCCTTGAATTATCCACAAAAGTGCCTCTCTGACTAAGAACTCAAAAGGAATCCAAAACATTTCACAGAATATTTCCTGTTCTCAGTTTAATTCAGAAAATATTTATTGAGCATTCTTCTATTTGGCTCTTGTGTGTCACATCACATGAGTGCTGGAGGACCATCAAAAGAAATTGAGAGTTATTCATTTTTGGGAAGCCTATAATTCAGTTAGTAAGAAAAGAATGTGTGCCCAAGGTTGCTGGGGAACACTGCTGGAAAATAAACAGTCATTGTCACATTGAGTGCTGGGAACAGGCAGGTCTGGAGAGGAGTTTTGGGGTAAAGGGGAAGGGAATCTCACTGGGGAGGAGAAAGGGGAATGTTTATAGCGAGGTCTCAAGCTGGTCTGAGTTAGGGAAGATTTGTGGTAAGCTGGTCTGAGTTAGGGAAGATTTGGGAAGGTGGGCATGTTGAGATGTCGGTGGGAAACAGCTCAAATAAAGGTTTCCTATTCCCCGTTTCCCTGTGTAGATCTAGAGTGTAGCACAGTGTAGACATTTGAGGTTGACTGAATGAGCACAGGCTGCTAATTGGTTTTATTGACTGTGGCAAAAGTCAGAGTCGGGTGTGGGTGCTTCTCAGTGCTGCTGGGATCTGAGGACATTGACTTGGGTGGTTGCATGGGGTTGGGTAAGCCCAGCAAACCAGCCCCACCGAGCAGCCTTATTATGAGAGTCTGGGCCTGGTTCCCTGCCTGAGTGCAGCCCCATTGAGCATAGCACTTTGGTGAGTCCCTATGCTAGTTTCAAAGGGTCATCTTAACTAAACACTGCAGCCTGGGGGCTCAAACAACAAATTGCTTTCCCACATTTCTGGAAGCCCAATATCAAGGTATGGGCAGGGTGGTCTTTCCTGAGACCTCTACCCTTGGCTTGCCAATGGCACCTTCTTGCTGTCTTCACGTGGGCCTTCCTCTGTGTGCTCATGTCTGTCCAAGTGTCATCATATAAGGATGCAGGTTGGATTGGATTAGGGCACACTTCCGTGGCCTGTTATAACTTAATCACCTTTTAAAGGCCCTGTCTCCAGAACCAGTCACATTCTGAGGAACTGTGAGAGCCACTGTTTAGGGCTTCAACATAAGAAATTTGGAGGGGTGATGGTGGCACAATTCAATCTATAGCAATCTCTTTTCAGAGTCCCTTTGAACTTGATTTTGGGAACTATACAGCTCAATTCTGTTCTACTCAGTCTCTTCCCCTCAGGACCCTTAGGATCCCAGAGTCTTGTGACTAACATGAGAAGAGGGTGGGTGCTTTGGAGGAATGATGTCTGCAGCATCCCTCAGACCTAGGCACCTAGGATCCTGTCCTGGGATCCATACGTTAGGGATCCCTCCACTGGCCTTCCCCTGGCTGTCCTCCCTATTGGATGAGATGTCTGTAGGGCCAAGAAGAGGTGCCAACCTGGAGCCTGCACCTGCCCTTCCAGGTCCCACTCTTAGTGCCCAGGACCCCAGAGTTCCCTGCCCAGCTGGCTCCCAGCCCCCTCTAAGGAGAGACTGCGGTGGAGTGGAGTTAAGGGTGGAGCTTATATTGCCCACACTCCTATCTGTAAGGTGCTTGGCACAGAGCAGTGGGAGTTTGGGGGTGAGATCTTGTGGAACCCCTTAGCACCCCTGTCCCTGATGGAAATGTAAGGCCAAAGCTGATGATGCCTTCATTGTAACCAAGTTACACACTCCCCTGCCACACACACCCCTTCCGCATTGTTCTGGCTTCTTGGCTACTTAGAGGTTTAGAAGTTGCTGCCATTCTCCAAAGTGGGTGTGTGGTGATGGATCTGGAAAGAGCCAGGAATATCATTTTGTGAGCGTCCAGCCTGGACCATCTGAGGGGTAGTGGGCAGTGTCAACCTGTGACCCAGGTGTTCTCCGCATCCAGGTTTGCCCACTGAGCGAGGTCCCAGGGCCCCTGTGTCCTCTGGCTCAGGACACTGTTGCTCAACCCTTTACGTCTCAGCCTTCAACAAATAACTGGCTGTGCAGGAAGGACTCCTGGGTCAAAGCAGGTGAGATCTGCTGTAACTTGCTGTTTTCTTGGCTCTGGGGCTTAAAGGCAGCTCCTCTAGGATTTAGCTGCAGAAAGACCATTGGAGACGAGGGAATTTCACTTTTCAGCTGCTGTTGAGCCCGTGCTGAAGGGAAAACTCTGATGTAAAAAACAGGACATGTTTAAAAAAAAAAAGGAAGGTGAAGGAAATTTCATCTGGAAGTCAAGAGACTTACTTTATCTTTTTATTCCTAGTTCTGTTTTCTTCTCCTTTCTGTTGTTGTAGGGCCTTGGGTAAAAAATAATATTTTTTTCAATAGTGTAGTAGATAAAGTACAAAGCTTTTATGTGCTGAGCAGTTAAAGACGACAAAGGAAGGTTCTGGCTGCTGGGGCCTCTCAGGATGTCTGCAGACGGTCACCGTGGGAATGGAGCTGGACTTAGCCTCCGAGGCCAGGAAGCTGCTTTTCTCAGATCACGCAGGGTCGTCAGGCTGGGGCCCGGTTCCCATGGCCCAGAGGCTCGTGAATGAGTGGTTGATTGACAAAGACCAGTGGACTCCTTTAAAATTAGAAATAGAACTTCCAACGGGTATAGACATGGCGATGGTCAATACACTTCTTTTTCAGTGGAAGAGTTTATTTGGGAAATTCAAATACTACCAGCAAGTAGCTGGAAACCCATAATTTCAGAGCAAGTCCTTAGACATTTTAGAAACCCAGACTCATGGAACAGTGGGTGTTGGAGTGGAAGGGGCACTAGAATACACTGTGTCCAACCCACCCTTCCTCCGTATGCCGATAAGGAAATAAAACCCAGAGAGGTGGAGTGACTTGACCAGGGTCACACAGCAAGCTGGCTCAGACCCAAGCTTCCTGAATACAAGTCTAGACAATGCAGTGTGGTGACATAAGGTAACATGAGGGAATAAAAAAAACCACATTCTTCAAGTTCATACAACCCTGGGCTGAGTTCTGGCCCTGTCACTTAGCAGCAATAATAATAAAGACAACACCATTAGTTGAGCTCTTACTACAGGCCAAGTTCCTTCTAATTGCTTTATCATCATTGCTACATTTAGTTCTCACAACAACCCTACAAGGCAGGTTTTATGATCTCCATTTATCAAGAGGAAAACTGAGGCACAGAGCGATGAACTAACTTGCCCATGGTATATAGTAAGGGGTGGGTTCAGGCTCCTAAAGTGTAGAACCTGTATTCTTAACCTTTATGCTCAAGTTCACGAGCTTATCTAATAAGTATTGTCCTTGTCTTAAAATACAGTGAATGAGAGAGAGCTCCTTGTAGGGTTGTTGATGCATTAGAAATCATGGCTAGAATGTGTCTCATTTCTAATGGGCACTTAATGAAAAGCAGCATTGTTGTTACTTACATTTGATGTTGCTGTTTGTTAAACCATGCTGTGTCCTCTCCTTTGTGGAGGTTTTGGAAGTCCCTGGTCCTGTGGTTCTCAAAGTGTGTACCCCGATTAGCAGCATGAGCACCTGGGACCTAGTTAGAAGGGCAGGTTCTCAGGCCCCAGCCCGGACCTCCTGGGTCAGAACCTTCCAGGGAGGATCCACCCACCAGGCTCTGCAGGGAATGCCGAGGCACAGTAAGGTCTGAGCCTGCTGATCTGACCACTGATATCTTTATAGACTCTTTCTTGTGGTGACTAACTAGTCCTAAATTGGTGCGTCTTAGCTTCACTTTCAGACAGTACCTTTCTCCATCACATTGTGGACTTCCATCATGTCATTCCATCTCATGTGCAGTGGTCGGCAAACTCATTAGTTAACAGAGCCAAATATCAACAGTTCAACAACTGAAATTTCTTTTGAGAGCCAAATTTTTTAAACTTAAACTTCTTCTAACGCTACTTCTTCAAAATAGACTTGCCCAGGCTGTGGTATTTTGTGGAAGAGCCACACTCAAGGGGCCAAAGAGCCTGCATGTGACTCGTAAGCTGCAGTTTGCCGACCACGGTCATAGTGCATTTACCGCTCTTGTGGGGACCTGTTCACAAATAGATTTGAGCTTGGCGATGAATGCTCCTTAGGACGCTCATTCCCAGCGCCGCGGGCTAGGAAGGTTGAGGGAGTCTGGGCAGAGAAGTCAGGAGAGCCATGATCCTCCAGCTGGCCTCAGCGTTCCTAGTTCTTGTGAGTTTCTGCATCGTTGTACCCCATTTCCCCCATCCATCTGTCAATCAGAGCTATTAAAAGCCAGCTGCCCTTTTTGATGTCAAAATTTTGTTTTGAAATAAGAGATATGAAAACCCTTGGAAAAGTATAAAGTATTTTTGGTAACTAAAGTCTTATTAATACAATCCTTTTGTTTGTTTGTTTGTTTTTGTTTTTTGTCTTGGTAGGTATTTTAAGATTCAGAAATGCTTCATTTTTGGCTCCTTCTCTCTCTCTCTTTACAATTAATGCATCATCCCTGCCTGAAGGGGGTGTGGCCAGATGTGCTGCCGGAATGTTCCCCCTCGACAATTTTGCTGTCGTGTGTCTGTGAGTATGGCATCTGTGGGACCCTGTTGGGATGTGTATGTTGGGGCTGTTTTACCAACGTCCACTCACCTTGGATTCTCAGTCATTGAGTGATGACTGGCCCAGGCTCCATGTGCAGGGAGGTCACCATTGACCGTAAACAAGAAAATGCAGGTGTTCAAGAGGAAGGATAGTCACACCCAAAAGAGATTGGGTTTAAGAACCACTGAGAAATGTATTGGGTCCCCAAATCCTCCTGGTCCTATCACGTGACAACTGAAAGTGTGTGTCTCTTATTTGAGGCCTGGCTGCTTTCACAAGCACCTCAGCAATCTTGCAGGCTACTTCCTGTTTGCATCCTGCCTTGCACATTAGGAGAAACTAATGGAATTGCTGGCTCATAGCTCGAATCATTTGATAAGGTGCTTTCCTGAAAACTTCACCTACACTGCCTCCTGCTAGGAGACATCGGTGCCTGTTTCATCACCCTGTCACTCTTTTTAAGTAGCATCCAAAGCTACTTGAAAAACATTTTTTTTTAATTGATTTTAGAGAGGAAGGGAGAGGGAGAGAGAAACATGGATTGGCTGCCTCTGCATGCCCGCCTACTGGGGATTGAGCCTGAAACCCAGCATGTGCCCTGTCCAGGAATTGAACTAGTGATCTCTGGGTGCATAGGACAATGATAAATGAACAGAGCCACACCTTTATAAAAACTGTATCAATTTGAAAGATAAATCAGTTGGTTTAATTTATATTTTTAAAAATTGAAAATGACCCCCGCCCAAGTTTATTTATCTGCTATTTAGTCTCCTCTCCCTTTTCCATGAGTGTGTTATTTGGGTGCGTATGGATTTTTAAGGTTAGTTTTATAGATAAAGAATGTGAATCCTTAGTGGTATCAGCTGCAAGTATCTTCTGATGTTTTTACTGATGTTTGATTATTGCTTTTTTTATAATTATAATAAGAACTTTAGTGAAATCCATTGATCTTTTACTTTGTAATTACTTTCATGTATTTATTCTTAGAAAACTACTTCTAATCCTTAAAAATGTTAAAGATTAACCTGCCTTCCAGCAAGGGCCTGGAGTGGTATTGTGTTTGCTGGGCTGTTTTCTCTGCACCTTACTGGGTCCTTGTGCTGTGGTGTTGGGGTGAGTGAAGGCGTGGCCGTACATGGAGTTCTTCTCCCTGCAGGTTTTTCACCCTGCTCGGCCTCGCCCTTCCTCTGGCTGGAACTGCGTATGTGGCAGCCAGGGCCTGGGGGTCAGACCGCGGGGCGTCCTCCACACCTGGGGCGTCCTCCACACCCGGGGCACAGTCAGCCACTTACGGGAGCCTGCCTTTGAGAGGGTCAGAGAGGAGCGAAAGCAGAATCCAGTGGCCCGGCAGCCTGGCTATTCTCTCAGGAACCCCGAGCAGAGGAAAAAGTAAGCATTTTAATAAACTCATGAGAGGTGACTTAGATGAGTACAGAACTGGAAAAGAATTCCCCCAGTGCTAAGTGTGGCGAAGCCAGCAACTTGAGTGCGGCGTGGAGGGTGGGTCTCTGCTGCTCACTATTCAGGCTTTGTGTCCCCTGGGGTGCCGCGGCGAGGTCGCTAAAAATGCTGCTTTGTTTCCCGGGCACAATTATCCAGTGTTTTTGTGCTACTCCAAGACTGGGTCAGCACAGATCTTGGGTTCCTCTGTGGTGATGCTCTAACGAATAGTTCCAGGATCTCAATGTCTGTTTCCAATGTCACAGTTCACGGGTGACTCATGGCCAAAGTACATGGTTTACATGTGCACGGAGCCAGGGCAGTGAGTATGCAGTACAGCTGATTAAAACACGGCAGAGTGTATCTGAGCCAGAAGTGGATAATGAGTCACACTGCTGTGCCTAAGTTAAAAAATCAGGAACAATGCCTTCATTTCCTCCTGCCCATATGGCGAGGCTAAGAGAACACACACACACACACACACACACACACACACACACCCTGAAACGAGAACAGCCTTGTCATGCAAATCCTGTAGAACATATGATATAATTTTTGGCAAGGCCCCTGTACGTCTACACAATTATCCCTCCTTTATTCCAATCAGGGGAATAAAAGTAAAACAAAATTTCAATGAATGGACCAGAAAAATATGAATATGTAAGAAAGTGGCTTCAGGAAAGGTGTAGTCATGATTTTATCAGATTCTGTTGGATCTCCAGGCAAAAACAAAAACAATAGCAACATCAACAAAAAACCCCAACAAGAAGAAAAACAATGAAAAACATGTTTGTAGTCCCCAGATCAGAAGCCGGCTACCAGTCCTGAGGCTCCCAGTGACCCCATGGTGATATCATGATGGGAAGTGTTTGGTGATAGGCTTCTGTGGAGTCAGTCCCTGCTGTCCTGTGTTTTTGACCCGTGGGTCTTGGTTTGGCCCTCTGGGGTCTCAGAAAATAAATCTAATGCTTTCTTGTTTCAATTGCAGCCCCATCAGATTTTGGGGACAGTTATGATGACCTCCCTCAAGGCTCAGAACCCCTCAATTGTTTCTTACATGACCAGCTAGCTGCCCTGTAGAAAGTTCCACAGTGGGAGTGGCAAAAAGAGCTCAAGCTTAGTCCCCATTCACACTTGCCTGGTTTCTAACTCTGCCCTGGGTCATGTTGTTTGACCTCTAGGAGCCTCGGTTTCCACTTGTGTAAAATGGGGGCACAGAATGAGATTTGTTGAAGGACTTAAATGAGATGATGTATTGTACTTACGTCCTCCTAATTTGTTGTTCTTTTCCTCATCTTTTCAGTTATGTCAGGAAGGGGTGTGGGGGAAGGGGTCTTGGATACGCTGACCCCACTGAGGTCCAGTAGGTTCCAGGGACCATCTGCAAGCTTCTGTCACACTGAGGGGGCCTACAGTTATCCTCGCCCACCATTGCTGGTCATTGGTAGGAGGCCGTCCCAAGAGCCTTGCTTTTAAAGACCAGATCACAGGATGGTATCAGGAATTGGTTACTAAAACTTTAGCTTCTTCACCCAAAATGACACTTTTTGATGGGGAAACCAAAGGTTTTTAGCTTTTTAACAGCTACATTAAACTGTGGCCTCAGACTGGGGGGTTTCCGTGTTCTGTTGCTATAGCAATTTTTTTTTTTTTTTTTTTTTTGTCATTTCATGCCATCGGAGCAAAATATCATATTCCTGAATGCTTGAAAATAGGACTCGAGATGGAGAGGCCCTTAGGGTCCAGCACTTTTTTCTCTCCACTTTCACACTCACCAGTGAGTCAGATCAACATAAAACCCTTGTCTTCTGGAGGTTTGGAGCCAGACTGGGCATTTCAGATTCCTGCTTCTTTATCCTCTGAATAATCCCTGCATTTGCTCAGGATGGTTTCCTGTTACAGGAGCCATCCTTTACCATTTAGATGAGAAAAAATGAGCGAGTGTTCGAGGATATTTTCATAAAGTAAAGAGCTGTAGCTACTGCCCCTGGCGGTCAGGGCTCCTGCTGTGAGTTCCTGGCTTACAGTGGGCCCCCAGGAATATCTGAGAGACTGGAAGGGCTGCCGCGGCTCTCCACTTCTGAGCTAGGGAATGGCGCTCAGAGAGGCCGTCTTCCCTAGTGAGCAGTTATTTTCAGATTTTATAAGCTGTTGCTAGTTAAGTGTGACCCACAAGTAGATGAAAATAGAAGTAATGATAGCAAAATGTATTCAGTATTTGCTTGCCAAGTTAGGCGCTGGGCCAGATGTTTGACAAACGTTCTTGAATCTTCACAAGAACCCTGCCAAAAATTGTGCTAAATTTAAAAGGGAGGGAGCAGGCCCAGTGAGGCTAAGAAACTTGGTGGGAGTCTAGCCCAGATCCTGCGTCTTGCCCTGCAGGCTGTGGCTCCTTGGGGCGCTGAGGGGAGCCACGGGGCTCTGGTGTAGGGTGATTCATTGTGCCGGGGCTCTGCCAATTGCTGCGGAGTGAAAAGCTCTCCTAATGAGAGACTGAGCTGCGTGCACATTTGAGAGCAACTCCAGTGGGAAAACGCATAGTTATGGCTGGAACCTCAAAACGTTAGGCAATTATATTCTTCCATTTTAAGAACTTGCTTTGGATTTCCACAGCTTGGTCCCTTGTGAATAAGTTTGAATTCTGCAAGGATTTCTGATGCCCACAATGTTTAAGGTACCAAGGTTAAGGTACCAAGAGACTCTGGGAGAAAATCAGAGTCTCTTGGAGGCAGCTTGAGCTTTTCAGACTTCTGTTCCACAGTTCTAGCCACTTAATTGGCTCTCATGATGAGTTCCATTGAAATGGAAAAAATGCAGGGAATAAATTAAGTAGAAGGGATGAACTATTCTTAAAGCAACAGGGCTTAAAATAGTGAGCCTAGTAACTATGATATTAATTCATTTGTTCTTCATAATAATCCTATGATTGAAGATCTACTTTGATTCCCCATTTGCAGATGTGGAAATGTAGGACAGAGAAGTTAATTCACTTGCCAGAAGTCACAGAGTTAGGAAGTGATAGCCAGACTCAGGGCCAGGAATACCTCACATACGACCTGCACCCTTACCTCTGTTTTCATACCTGTACCTTGACAGGCAGCAATGTTATTTGTAAGTGATTCATCCTTGGGAGAGGACCAGGGATGCCATTTCCAGCAAAATGCTGCCCTGATGTGCTTTCTTAATAATGTCTAAGTTCCCCTCCCCCAACACTTTTTAGTCAGGCCTTGGCATCCTGGGGCCTGAACCTGGGCAGTGTCTTCTGTGCAAGGCCAGTGTGGGCACCAACCTTAAGTCATGTCTGTCAGGCGAAGTCAGGGTTCATTGGGGAAGGAGACTAAGTCCAGGGGTCCACATACAGATCCAGAGGGGACAATGGAGAATTGAGGTGGGCGGTCCAGGACTACAATGAGGGATCATTTGGGGACAGCCACGATCACTGGTATGTGTTTTGGTTTCTGTTAGTGGAGCAGCATGTGGGTTGGTCTTACTTTCAGGGGGACAGTGACACCTCTGCTCTCACCTAGGATGTCTAGGAGCTGTGGACCAGGCTCTGAGATGCTTCTCTTGGCAGAAGAATGTGCCAGCCATCTGGACCACCACGGCATCAGGAAGCACGTGCTCTGCCCTGAATGGCATCCGAGTCCTGAGTCTCCTGTGGATCATGTCGGGGCACACCAGCCAGATGACCGCATGGCTGTCGCTGGGTGCGGAGAACTGATGGGCCTCTGAGAGCAGTCAAGGAGGACAGCATGTTTGTGCGAGCGGAGCACGTTGGGCCATAGGATGGGAGGCCACAGCTTTCCTCTGGTCTAGAGATGTGGCCAGAACTTCCCATAAATGAGTTTTCCAGGCCAGTGTCCAGTGGCTGCTTTGCCTCCTCCAGGGTATAAATCAGGCACCTGGCTGCCAAGTGAAGAGTGATACCTGAGATTGTATTTTCATTGTCCAAACAGCTGGGCTCCCTCTCATCATGATTAATGATGCCGGAAACTGACATTTTTTTTTTTTTCTCCTGGAAAAACAGGCAAGCGTAGATAAGTACTGTGCATTAGTCAAGTCAATGTTTCTTGACCTTTCCCCGAATCACTCCCATCAAGTACTCTCCCGGGGGTACTGTTCCCCCGGGGGCCAGATGCATGCATCAGAGTTGGGGGGCAGCTGAGAGGGGTCTGAAGAACCTCCCAGAGATCTGCACGGGCCCATGAGCAGGTGATACTGCTGTAGTCCTAAGGGGCTGAGGCCACGGAGAGCACAGGGGTGCGCAGAGCCTTAGTTACAATGAGGTACCTCCATCTCCTCCCTTTTCTTTTTGATCCAAGATCCCCTCATAAGTGAATGATGGGGATACATGACACCCTCCCAATACAACTGAAAATGGAATGTGTTTCTCTTGTTTTTTTTCTGAGAAGATAAAGCACATGATTTTTTTTATTTTTTATTTTTTTTTTGCTATTAAATCAATAGACACAGTTTTTTATGTTTGTTACAGATAATGTGCTTGAGTGGAAAGCCAGAGTGCTTAAAAACCCACTCTACCTTTATTCTCGGAGTGGCCCATTCTATCTTGGGGTTGATACATTCTTCCTGATCAGGTAATACGGTGTTTTTCCTGCTGTCATGCCTGTTGCTGCTTGTTGGAGGGAGTGGGGGAGGGAGAAAGAGGGGTATGCGTTGTCATCCTCACTTTAGTGAGAAAAACTGAATGGCTCACATTTGCTCACCGGCTCTTGGCTCCTGTCCATCTCGGCACAGCACTGCTGCCACAAGCTCCTCCTCTTTGTGTTTTCAGCTTACTAAAAGAACCAGGCTGGCTCTTTAAAGGGGGCTTTTTACAAAAGGTGATTATATTTCTCAAAACTGTTTACTTCAGTGGCTCTCAAATTATGGTTCGTGACCTGAGGCAAATCCATGATAAAGTTTCCAGTTCTCATCATGGTAAAATGTGAAACAAGAAAAGAAAATGATGTTCCATAAAGCTATGTCTATGTAAGATAACTACTGAGTGGTAAAATTTCTTAGCTGTTTGGTAAATGTCAGGTACCTCATGACATGCTTTGCAGCAGCATCTCTGTTAATCCTCATGATGTCCCTGCACAGTAGGGGCCATTGTTAAAATCCCCATATTTTTAGTTGAGGTAAAATTCACATAACATAAAATTGACCACTTAGAGTAAACAATTTAGTGGCATTTAGCACATTTACAATGAGGTACAACCACCATTTTTATCTAGTTCCAAACATTTTCATCATCTCCAAAGGAAACCTCATGCCCATTGAGAAGTTACTGCCCAATATCCCCTCCCCTTCATTTCTGGAAATCTGTTTCCTGTATCAATGGACTTACCTATTTCCGCTATCCTATATAATAAAGAGGTGATATGCAAATTGACCCTCACACCCTCGCACAACATGGCTGTCCCCATATGATCAAAGATGGCTGCCCCATGTGATCAAAGATGGCCGCTTCCATGTGGTCAAAGATGGCCATCACAAGATTGCTGGCAGGGGAGGGTAGTTGTGGGCGACCAGGACAGCAGAGGAAGGCAGTTAGGGATGACCATGCCTGCAAGGGAGGGCAATTGGGGGCAACCAGGCTAGCAGGGGAGAACAGTTAGGGGTGACCAGGCCTGCAGGGGAGGGCAGTTGGGTGCAACTGAGTCTGCAGGGGAGGGCAGCTGGGGGTTACCGAGCCAGTAGGGGAGGGCAGTTGGGGGTGACCAGGCCAGCAGGAGAGCAGTTAGGAACCAATCAGACTGTTAGGGGGTGACCAGGCTGGCAGGCAGGCAAGTGGTTAGGAGCCAGCAGTCCTGGATTGTGAGAGGGATGTCTGACTGCCAGTTTAGGCAGGATCCCTGGTTGGGCCTAAACTGGCAGTCAGACATCCCTGAGGGGTCCCAGATTGGAGAGAGTGCAAGCTGGGCTGAGGGACAGCCCCCACCCCATGCACAAATTTTTGTACACTGGGCCTCTAGTTTCATATAAGCACATTGTGTAATATGTGCCCTTTTGTGCCTGGCTCTTGCCATTTAGCATGATGTTTTTGAGGTTCATCTACATTAGGGGTGTCGAACTCAATCAGAGAAGGGGCCAAAATCTAAAATCCAGCCTAAATCGCGGGCCGAATGGTTTACTGAACAGTCATAAACTGTCATTGTGATGGAAACGCAGCGGAGTGCAGTGATGACAGCGTGGTGCGGGCCACATTGCAAGGCCTGGCGGGACGGATTTGGCCCGCGGGCCTTGTGTTTGACACATGTGATCTACATTGTAGCGTGTGTCAGTACTTCATTTCTTTTTATGGCTGAGTAATATTCCATTGTATGGATAGAGCACAAAAATCTCCACTTTGAAGAGGAGGGAATTGAGATTGAGGGGGATAGTCCTGGTGGACCCATGATTTAAACCCAAGCAGTCTGACTCCGGCGTTTATATCTTGGCCACGGTGCTAGCCTGTCTCTACCTCTTCTGACTTCAGTATCCCTTCACAGGGAAATGGTGATGCTACATAGCAGCTCTTTCTATCAGATGCTAATCATTCATCCATCCAGCCACCATCTAGTCGCAGGCGTCTTCAAACTATGGCCCACGGGCCACATGCGGCCCGCAGAGGAGTCTGATCCGGCCCGCCAGGTTTTTTGGGCAGTGAGCGCAGCCGAGGTGTTACAGTAGGAATTAGTAGTTCATATAGACCGGCCCTCCAGCTCTTTGAGGGACCGTGATCTGGCTCCCAATTTAAAAAGTTTGAGGACCCCTGATAGTGAATGCCTATTTGCCAGGCATTATTCTAGGTCCTGAGCTACTTTAGTGGATAAAACAAACAAGGACTCCCATGGTGCTTCCATTAGTGTGTGTACATGCATGGGAAATCAGCAATAGACAGAAACAAAAAAGAAACAAACAAGTAATAAATGTCAGTAAAGAAATAGCTAAGAAGGAGATAGAATGGGTATTTGTTTCAATGAAGTTAGAGAAGGTTTATCTGGTGAGGGGCTGATCCATCTGAGACCCGAGTGGTAAGAAGCAGCCAACTCCAGGAGGCCCAGGACGAGAAAGTTTCAGGCAGAGGCAGCAACTAGTGTCAAAGGACTAAGGCAAGAGAGAGTGAGCCTTGTTAAAGTGCCTGAGAGGCCCTGGGGCATCCTGAGCCATCTGGGAAACAGACAACAGAAAGAAGGCCAAGCATAGTGTGGGTGGAGGGAGCGAGGACTTTGTAGCAAAGCTAAGGAGTTTGGATGGAGTCTTGTGAAATGGAAAGTCGCTGGATTGCTTTAATGTGGAAAGTGATATGATCTGACTTTTTAAACTGATTATTCTGGCTCCCATGATAATAATAGATCTAAGAAGGGCAGAGGCGGAAGCAGGGAGATCAATCAGGTGTCCTCGGTTGAATTTCAGAGAAGTGATAAGGCTTGGTCTGGGAGGTGGTGGCTGGGATGGAGAGAAGGTCACGCTCAAGATACACTTCAGAGGTGGAATTGTTAGAACTTGTTGACGGACTGGTTGTGAAATGTGAAGAGAGGGATTGAGGACAGCTTCTAGGTTTTGGCTGATAGCTGAGTAGATGGTGATGGTAGTAGTTGACAGGGGAAAGATCCGAGGAGAAGCAGGCATTGGGAGGAAAGTCAAGCTTTCTGTTTTGAACAAGTTAAGATTAAGGAGCCTTTTAGACACCCACGCAGAGATGTTAAGTAAGGAGTTGGCTCTGTATGTCCGGAGCTCAGTGGCAATGTCAAGGCTGAGGATGGAAATTTTGGAGTGGATGGGATACATGTGGTTTTTAAAGCCACAGGGCTGAATCAGATCGTGCTGGGAGGGGCATGAAGACAGATCAGGGCTGAATCCTACAGCTGATGTCCTCACCTTTGGAAGCTGGAAATAAGAGGAGGGGCCAAAAAAGGAGCCTGATGAGCAATGGTAGGAGATTGCTAGTGACCATTCATTTCCTGTAACACTTCCCCAATATCCTGGTGACTTGCTCCCTCTTCTCTGTCAGGTGTTTACTCAACTGGCATCTACCCAGGAAGGCCTTTCTTTTCCCTTGATTTAAAATGGAGCCACCCAGCACTCTCTACCCTGTTTCCCCGAAAATAAGACAGTGTCTTATATTAATTTTTGCTCCCAAAGATGCGCTAGGTCTTATTTTCAGGGGATGTCTTTTTTTTCCATGAAGAAGAATATGGTACACATTTATTGTTAAATGAAAATAAAGGAAATATATTGCCTGTATACGGTATGGTAGTACGGTAGTTGTCAACACAAACCAGACAAACTGTGAATCCTACAGTATCAAGAATTTACTCATTTATTCAATGATAATCATGTCATCATCTTCTGGAACATCATCATAACAATCCAATTCCTGAATTTCCTGGTGAATTTCCTGTGACTCCATTTCTTTCAGAATTAGTGGACCAAATCATGTTTAGCCTAGGGGGGCCTTATTTTCAGGGGGTTGCCTTATATTTCACTCAGAAGGAAACCTGCACGTAGGTATTATTTTCGGAGGATGTCTTATTTTCGGGGAAACACGGTACTTCATTTTCTCTTTATCTAACTATTTTAGCTGCATTTCCCCGCCACTCCCCTTCCTTTCTTACCTGTCTTCACTGGAATGTAAGGCAGGATATTTTGTTTTCTGTGCTACTATCCCCAGTGCCAAAAGCAGTGCCAGGCACATAGTACTGATCGGTAAATAGTTGTTGAAATTATTTCTTAATTGTTTCATCTCAGGACTCTGGTGTGATAGCTTCTCGGGGCAAGGCAGAAAAAGTAGATACAGAGTAAGCTGTAACCTGCCCACTTGGGCAACAGCTCATGCTAGGCGGTGGCCAAGGTGACAACAGAGAGTAGTCCAGACAGGCAAGGGTCAGAATCCACCATCGCAGCAAACCCAGCAGAGATATGGAACCCTGGGCACCAGACTTTCCAACAGGGCATAGCTGAGTCTAACCAGGTGGCGCCCACTTGCAGGAGACCAGGGTGGCCCTGAGGGTAGGGAAGTCCGCCCACAGCCCAGAACACTGTTCCCTGCAAAGGAGGCTAATAAGAACAAGGCAACCCCCACACCATATGCTGCAGGCACTGATGGGCAGAGCTCCAAACCCTGGGAGGGCGGCTGCCAAGGACAGAGTGGGGTGGATGGAACTTAAGCCAACACTCAAGCTGCAGAATAACCACTAGGAGGGAAGAACGGAGGGCGAGGGAAGCCACAGGTCATCCTGGGCCATTAGGGGGAAACGGGACAGCAGAGAAGCCATCAGGTCATCCCTGAGATATCCAAAGCACAGACCCAGGTCTCTGAAATTGCAGATGTCTAAGAAAACAACAGACCTGAGCCCCTCTCTCATCTGTGGCCTGGAGAGGACTGTGCCTGTCATCGGTGGTTCTGAGAGTCTGGTGCCTGCACAGTGGCACCAGCACCATCCAGAAGCCTGTTAGAAATGCAGATTTGGAGGCCCCACTCAGACCCCCTGAATTAGACACCTAGGCTGGTGCAAGCTCTCCTGCAGCTGCCACCATAAAGGTCTGAGAACCAGCCCTAGCCGGCTTGGCTCAGTGGATAGAGCGTCAGCCTGTGGACTGAAGGGTTTCAGGTTGGATTCCCTGAAGGGGACAGCCAAGGGTTTGGGGCTCGATCTCCAGTGGGGGGCGTGCAGGAGGCAGCCAATCAAGGACTCTCTCTCATCATTGATGTTTCTATCTCTCTCTCCTCCCTTCCTCTCAGAAATCAATAAAGAATTATATATATCTTCCTTCCTTCCTTCCTTCCTTCCTTCCTTCCTTCCTTCCTTTCTTTTTTTCCTCCCAATTTTCACTTTATTACTTTATGAAGTGCATATATTCTTTTAAGTAAACTTTTTGCTTGAACAATGGGAATGTTACTAATAGTGATACCTAGTATGGTCTTTATGCTAAGTGCTTAAAATCTTCCACCCCATATGATTCTTACAATAAATCTATAAAGCTGGAACCAATATCAGCCAATATTTACAGATAAGAAAGTTGACATTTAGAAAGGAAATCACTTACCCAAGTCCCCCAGGTAGAATCAGAAGTCACTGATGGGTTTACATAGGAAAACCAAGGATATGAATAATTAGTCAGTGACCGTTTAGAATCCTTTTCTACCTCTCAGGGTGACTTGTCACATTTCTACCGCAGGATTTAAAAACATTTATCATTATCGCTGAAAGTATTACAGGTGTCCCCTTTGCCCCCTCACTGACCCCTCCTCCTTAACTCTTTCCCAGCCTGTTTAGGTCTCTGGCTCTTCTCCATCTTCTGGAGCTACTTGTCTCGCTCAGAGCCTGTTTTCCTGCCATCCCGTCCCTTTGTCCTGTCTTCATGAACTTGAAGGCTGGACAGTGCATGGCCGCACACAGAGTGAGACTTGGCGCTTGCTTAGCAACCATGCTGTGGAGGGGGAGCCAGTCACTGAAAGGAAAGGCTAGCTCAGGCCCTCGATTCTCTCCTGAAACTCAGAGGAGGTGAGAATCAGAATTAACCTCCCTAATTCCCCATCTCACCATCTTTTCTTAGTTGTCTCTTTAAATTCTGCTCCTGTTATAGTGGCTACTGTTCGCTGCATTTCAAAAGAAAATCTATCTGGAAGAGAATAAAAACATTCTCCAACCCTCCCTGATCCCTTCCAAGTCCCACCCAACGCCCAGGGCCTTTTGCACAGGAAATCCATTTGTTCCTTAGGGAAACACCCATCGGATCCTTGGAATGAAGTCAAAAGGTTGGGAAACTCACAAACTTGCTTACCATCAAGTTCTAACTCAGAGGCATATCCTTGGTTTCTTCAGTGGAATGTTCTGAGTGATGAGTTTGCCATCAGGATATGCTGGCTGAGAATTCTCACTGGGATCTTGGGCAACCCACATAACAGTCTTTGAGTCTTCATTTCCATATTAAGCAAGCAGGATTGGCAATATTGTCTCTTTTATCTAATTGGGCTGTTCATTCATCTACTTGATTATTCACTCAAAAACCATTACAAAGTAGTTTGCTATGGCTCCAGAAACAAAAGCAAAAGCAACCCTAGTGGCGTTACAGCAGAAGACCACTGGTTGATGCTTGGGACAATAGTCACTAGTGTTCACTGGGTATTTCTGGTTCTTCACCCTCAGTTGGCAACATACCACTTCCTGGCCCCATTGTGGTTGGTGGGCCACATCTCTAGGTCTGACCAAGTGGTACCTGGTATTGCCATCATGCTGAGAGCTTTAAACGTGTCTTCTCTGGGTGAGGACATGTAATTGCTGGTTTGAGGCCCTCCAGAATTCTCCTGAACTCTGCATGGTCACCGGTGAACTTGGAGAGACTGGCTGCTCCGTCAGCCTGGGTCCATAGTGAGGAAGTGGCTGACCCCAAAGTGAATGGCCATGGGCTTGCAGCATAAGAAAAAAAAAAAAAAAAAGGAAAAAAAAAGATTGTTATTTTGACTTGGAAGCCAGATTAATCAACCAATGAGCTTTATCACTGATAAATAGTTCCTGTGCCTATTCTTCTCTTTCTCTCAGTGGCTGGTTAAGCGCGAGGTCATTTTTAAAGATGCAGCAGTCTTCAGAAAAAGGAATCACTGCCAAAGTTATACTCAGCTACTACTTTAGTCGCCTTATAAGGTAGGTTTACTTACATAATTTCTGAATTTACTATTGCTGTGTAACAATTTAGGATTTTTAAAATTATTAACCCTCTTTTGAAAGAATGTTTAAAGAAAAATAAATGGAGATAAATTGTTTTCTTCCTTAAATACAGTTTTGTTTTGTTTTGTTTTTTTGCTGGCTTTAATGGCTTTTGCCAGTAGAAGATTCCAGTTTTTATGGTGTTGGTCCTAATAAAATTTGAGGTATATTAAACCAGCAAAAACATCCTTATTCGTTAGCTGATGGGCATCAAATTTCAATCAATGTACTATCAGATTGTCATGGACTCACATTCAACAGGAGAATTTGTATGGCTCCTACAAATTGGTAATAATTGGATCCTGTGAGTAAGAGTGCTAATGGTAATGATAAAGATAAAATAAGATACAGCCAGGAGAGGGGCTGGTTGGCCCTTGGAACAATAGTTGCTCTGCTGAGAAGGAAGCCGGCTGGTGATCCTTGCGAATGTGTGATTGGTTGGAGCAGAAGGATGACACTATTGGGACAAAATATGAAACCAGTGTGATGGAGCAGCAGGTGTGCAATGAGACCATCTAAGTTTAGGCAGAAAAGGCCCTTCAACTCATGGACCCCAATCCCTTCCTTTATATATTTTCTGAATCAACTTGGTGCTGAACTAGAGCCCTGCTCTCATTACTCATGACCCATGCCCTTCTTGTCACACTGCACTCTCATGAAATAGGAAGGGGAGTATTGAAACAATCTGTGCTAATAAAATCTAGTGGGTAATATCTGATTCTCTAGTTTGCCAGGCTTGCTTTCTGGTTCCATCACCTCCTAGCTGCGTGACTTTGAACAAGTGTTACAACCTCTCTGTGCTTGACTTTTCTCATCTCAAAAGTGGAGAGAATAATGACATCCCTTCATTGGCCTCTCGTGAGGATTAAATGAGCTAATGTATGTAAAGAACTTAGAAAAGTAAGTTATCCTTGTTACTGTTGTTATCATTATTTACACCTTTTAATTTTACCTGTAAATAGGCTAAGAATGAGTACAAGCTAAGGAGTAGACCTTTAGTGATTCCTTTCCACCATAGATGTGTTGTTTTTTACAAGCTCTATCAAGTCTATCCCTCATCCTGGGGAGGACAGAATGCTGCTTCTGTCAATATCACTTGGGTGTGAGGCACAGGGTCAAGTAGTCTGCCTTGCCCTGAGGTCTTGTGGAAAAGAGGGACTGGATTCAGGCCAAGGGCGCAGTGATAAGATGGGTGGTTAGGGTTTGCAGGGGGGACTCAATGGCATGGTGTGTTCCACCTGGTAAACTTGCTTCAGAGGAAAGATCCTGGAGCTGGGGATCGAGGAGGCAGATAAAGTCATGGTGAGGGGCAGGGAGAGCTGAAGTAGGGAGTGAGGAGCAGTGAGGCATTACAGGGCACAGTGGAAGCAAGGACCCCAGTGAGTAAATGACTGCACTATGTAACAGGAGAGCAGGAGTCAGGGTGGTGTTGGGCAGCGGGAATGCAGAGAGGGCAAGTCAAGGACACATTTTCTGGCCAGAGTAGCATGGCAGATGGTGGCATTCTTGAGGTAGGGGGGTCTGGAAGAGTGCCAGGTTGGACCAGGAAGAGAGTGAGCCCAACCCGGCACAGCACTGTTGAAAAAGGGAGGGGCCCATCGCCAACCCATAGTTTGAACTCATTGTTTTCAAGGTGACCCAGTGAGAAAGCAGCCATGCTCTTTGATGTTCTCATTCACCAACTCTCTGTTACTGCTCAATGGTTTGCTGCTTGCCTCCCTCCCTCCAAGAAGAGTGAAAGTAAGGTCATTTGTTCACACCCTCTCTCTATTTATGGAGGGTCCCCTATGTGCTAGGTGCTGTGCTAAGCCCTGGGCATTTAGCAGTTAATAAACCATGTGTGCCTGCTAGCATGGGGCTTACATGTGAGTGATGGAGAAGACAATAAAGGAATCAATAGGCAGCATTCAGCTGCAATATGCAACATTTACAACAGGTCCCTGATGATAACTGCCACAAAGTGATGGTTTGGAGAAGGAAGTAAGACAGGGTCTTCCTCTGTAAGTGTGGTCAGGGAAGGTGACATTTATCAAGAACCTTGAAAGAAGTAAAGGAATGTTCTAAGCAAAGAAAACGCTGCAGGGAAGAAGGTCCGTTCAGGGGTTCAGGTGCAAAGGCCCCGAGGAGGGAGCATGCTTGGTGGATTTGAAGAGCCTCAAAGAGCCGGCGGTGCTGGAGAGGAGAACAGAGGGGATGAGGTCAGACAGGCGGGCGGGAGGGAGGATGGCTCAGGTCCTGCAGCATCCGTGACCACCTGAAGAGCTTTCCCTTTTATTCTGAGACAGAAAGGCTTTGGAGGATTCTGGTAGGCAGTGGCTGGTCCGATTTACATTTCACAAGAGTCACTTCGGCTGCAGGGCAGAGAATAAACTGTAACTGGGCAGGGGCAGGAGACAGGGGACCAGCCGGGAGCTACTGCAAGTTTTAAGAAACTGCAAAACCCCAACATCAAGGAGTAAATCAGTACAGAGCTTATCTCGTGGGAAACAAGGAGAGTGGGTGCCCCAGTCCCTTAAAACTGTGATTATTCCAAAGAGAAGCCACATTTAAAAAATCAGGTTTTTAAAAAATAGGTTGTGATAAAAATGTCTAACACTAACAGATGGTTACGCATTAAAATTAAAGGGCCTCCTTCCAATCTCACTTCCTACAGGACACCTTTGTGAACAGTTTCTTGTGAACAGAGGGAATGTAGAGAGGGAATGTAGAGAGGGAAAGTCTCTGTGAATTCCCGCAGAGACTTTCCATATATTTATATGCACCGTTTTTTATGAATAGGATTAAACTATATACTCTATTTTATACACTCTTTCTTTGTAGCTTTTTCCACTTCATGATTTAACATTGGCACACACCTCTATTTGCATGCAGGGACCCGCCTCACTGATTTTAAAGGCAGCCTGGGATGGCACTGTGTGGGTAGACCATCATGCATATCACCTGTCCCCATCGCAGGAGGTCATTTCCAAGTGCTTTTCTATTTTAAACAATGATACAAGGCATGTGCACATGTGAGCAATTATATGAACACTAGAGGCCCAGTGCACTAAGTTGAGCATGGATAGGGTCCATAGGCCTAGCCTGTGATCAGGGCCATCTTCTGCCCACTCACCAGTCTCCAGTCCTGTTCCACCACTACACCCTGGTTCACTGTGATTCTCCATAGCATGACTTCGCTTCCCCAGAACCTGTGGGCCAGGGGGAGGGACCAAGAGGTCGGCCATTCTGTGTGCTCGCCAGTCCTACCCCATAGCCACTCACCTGTTTGTCGTGGTTCCCTGTTTGCCATGCTTCAATTAGAGCCTGTGGGCCAGGGGGTGAGGAGGCGGGAGGGACTGAGAGGTGGTCAATTCCCTCATAGCTACTGGTCAAGCGGTCTCTCGGTCATTATGCTTATGGTTGCTGGCCTTTTATTATATAGGATGTTTGCAGATGAATTCCTACTAGTGCAATTGCTGGTTTGGTCCAGCAATCATCTTGATGGACATTTTCCAGTTCACCTTCCCACCCACCAGGTCTGAGAGCCCCTGCTCCTCAGCCCTCCACAACCATGGCTGGTATTGCAGTGTAGGCTCTGAAAACCTAGTGTGACTTGCAATCCTCTGGAAGTTTGGCAAAAACAAAGCCTGTGTACACTTATATGACAGTTTCAGTGTTTCAAACTATTTTCTTACTGATCTTATTTAATTCTCAAAAAAACCTTAGGAGGCAGAAATCCTCCTCATCCTTCAAAGCATAGAAGGAATCGTCACCTGTGTTTTCCATAGAAGAGGAGAGAGAGGAATGATGTGATTTTTCTCAGTGAGAAAAATGTAGACAAACCAGCGTGCATGTTTCTTGTTCTTTCCCTTGTCGCCTGGCCTCTCCAGCCATGGCCCACCCCGCAGCCTCCACCCCACAGTCCCGGCCCAGAGGCTGCGTTTGCACCGGCACCCCAGGGAGGGCTGTGCTAATGGCTGGGGGCACAGTGGGTGCACACTCCCTCTGTGGACATCTGACCTGAGCTCTGCCTCTGAGGGGAGCAGGGGCTAACTTACTCTCCCTGGGGAAAGGGAGGAGACAGATGGCGGGAAGGGAGGCCTGTGGGAGCAGCTGCTGGGCAGCGGGTCTGATGGCTGACCCCGGCAGAGCCCAGCACTCAGGGAGGGCTTCGTGGCTGCTGTCTGAACTGCCTGTGAGTGCTGCCCGGGGCACAGGCAGATGCCCTTTCTCTCTGACTTTGATCAGCAATTCCAGCCCTGCTGCCTGCATGCCCACTGCCCTCCCGGACACTCCTTGAGGGGTTTTATCTCTGTGGCGAGAACAGGAGGCCCACAGGTGCACCTCCAGCAGTCCTGCCCTTCCCATCTGTCACACACACCCAGGCCCTGAGGTCCCCACCGCGGCCTGGAGGTGCTGCAGGGCCATGTGCTCTGCCCTCATTTGCATTCCCCGAAACTTTTCAATGCGTCTTTTAAAAAGACGTCTCTGACCGCCGCCCACCCAGAGCTGTGCGTGCCCCTCTGCTCAGCCTCCTGTGGGAACTCTGGACTGCGTGTCCCGGAGGTGGCCACCAGACACATGGCCCCTTGAGACACGCTGCCAGGGCAAAACACACACCGGAACCTAAAGACTTGGCAAGAGGATGTAAAGTAACTCAGTACTTTCTTATGTTGGTTACCTGTCCCAATGAGAAGAATATAGATGTATTGGGCTACAAAACGTATATTATTAAAATGAATTGTACCAGTTTATCTTTGACTTTTAAAAATGTGGTTCCTAGAACCCCAGGGGTGGATTGGACTGGAATTCTATTTCTATTGAACGTGCTGGTCTAGACACTGGGTGCCTTATCCATCAGCTGTGCGGCTGCTTCAGATCCGCTTGGAAGGAGGAAGGGCAGGAGGGAAGGAAGGAAGAAGCGAATCCAGGAAGGGAGAAAGGAGAAGAGGAGTGGAGTAAGGCCTTTTCATCCGGAGGGGATGATGCCGGGTGAATTTCTCAGAGCTATCACTTCATCTGTAAAGCGGAGGTCACAGTTTACCTGACAGGAGTTCTGAGGTTTAGAAATATCTACCGAGTTCCTCGTTCGGTGGCTGACGCTTGCGACTTGCTCAATGTAGAACAGTGCTTTGCGTCAGCAGTGACGGTGCCAGCACATAATAGGTGCTCACGAAATGATTTTGAATCCACGCATGTTTGAGGTGTGGGTGGGATGTGCTTAGAGGCTCTTATCGCCAGGTCAATGAGTCCAGTCCCCGCCTTTCCTGAGTGGGAGCACTGTGGGGCCCCTTTCTCTCGCCTGGCTCTTTCCGCCAGATTGCAGCCTCTTCACCTGTATTCCGTGTGCCTGTTGGTCGGATTGTTCTCCCTGGTCCCCTGGGGACCTGTCTGGGAGGTGCCAAAGCTCCACCTGGACAACTGCCGGCGAGCGTGGTGGACGAACGTGCTGCTGCTCAACAACTTCCTGTGGGTCCGGAACGCGGTGAGTCCCGCATGTTGGCTGCAAAGGGCTTGTGGGCACAAAGCGGCGTCCTGTGTCCCATGATTCAGTGAACTTCCTGGGGGCCACCGTGAGGCGTCTGGTCCCCTTCCTCCTGCTCTGTTCTCGGGAGTGAGTACTGGTGATGCTGCAGGTGGTAGCTGTGGGCAGGAAGGCCAGTCTCCTGTGATGGAGGGTGGTGACCGCACCGGCCTTGGCAGGGCAGTCACTGGGGGCAGCAGGGTAGTGGGCATCGAGGGGCCAGCCATTGAGGTGCACACCGCAACGCAGGCAACCCTGCCCCAGCCCGGTTCCTGTCCAGCCCATGCTGCCCGGAGGGAAAGGACAGTCTCTTCACCTCCACACAGAGAGCCTGTAATGGATGGAGCAGTGCACTGCGCCCTCACCACTATGCATTCCATTCCATTCCATTTCAAGCCAGATCTGACCAAGCAATAACATTTGTATGTGTTGCTTTTGGCTTCCTTAAAGCCCTGGTTCGCCCACGATGACCTGGGAACAGATGCAGGTAAGGTGGCTGTGATGGAATCGTGCCACCGAGGAGGCATGTGTTTTGGAAGTGCAGCTGAAGAAAGAGTCCCTTGCGTGGGGCTGATCACGCACACAAACACTTTCCCAGTAGAAGCTGTCTTTGGTACACAAGTTCCCAGTAGCTTCCACAGGACACGTATCACCACCCAACTGCCTTCAGGTGAACCCAGGTCTGTGCCAGGGCCCAAGGAGGACAGAGAGCCGGGGCTGTTTTCCTGGCTGCAGACTGGCTTGGGCCATGTGTGGGAACCAGTGACAAAGACACCAGCCAGTCCCTCTCAGAGGTGAAACCCACTCTAGGTCTTAGAAGCAGAGGTGGGAGGGCCCTGCACATCCCCCCACCAGGGAACGTGCCTCCAGCTGGGACAGGAAAGCTGTGGCTGCTGTTGGGTAAATCTGGTCTCCTTGGACGGAGAGGGTGGGAGGGAGACCTAGGTTCTCTTAATTGCTGAAATGCTGGAGAAGATGCCCCAGGAATGTCCTGACAATGAAGAAGAAGTACAGGTAGCTGCCTCATTCTACACAGACAGGTAAGTGATGAAAGATGTGGAAAGATGTGGCTTTGGCCAGACGGTCTCATGTCAGTCAAGCGTGGGAACCCTGGGTTTCCCACATAACTCGTCTGGAGCCAGGCCTCTGTTCTAAAAGGACACATTCTCTCCCCCTAGAGTGGGGGAGGGCAGCGGGTGAGGCACGGAAGAGAGAACAGCAGTGAGCCTGACTACAACTGCATAACGATAATTACTCCTTGCATCTGTGTAACACGATACAGTTTTGTTCCCACAGTTGTCCTAGGATGGTGGTTGGCAAACGTGACTCGAGAACCACATGCGGCTCTTTGGCCCCTTGAGTGTGGCTCTTCCACAAAATATCATGACCTAGGCGAGTCTATTTTGAAGACATGGCATTAGAAGAAGTTTAAGTTTAAAAAATTTGGCTCTCAAAAGAAATTTCAGTTGTCGGACTGTTGATATTTGGCTCTGTTGACTACTGAGTTTGCTGACCACCGTCCTAGGAGATTCGCTATTAATGTTTTCTTTTTTAAACAATAGAGAAAACTGAATTTCCATTTTGTAAACTGGAACCTACCATACAGGTTTGTTACAAAGATGAGATGAGGTATGTGAGGTGCCTATAACTCACTCTTCCTCTCTCTTCCATGGAAATCCCCTCCAGCCTACTGAACGCCTCTCCTGGTCTAGGAAGGTGGATGGTGGGAGGCAGACCTGGTAAATGGCTGAGAGATGTAACCTTTGCTCTCTTTCCAGTGCAACGGCTGGACATGGTACCTTGCCAATGACTTCCATTTCCATCTCACAACACCGGTCATCATCTTCATCCATGGAAAGTGAGTCATTGGGACATGTTTCCTTCCTGTGTGCCCTTTCCCACAAAATTCCAGGACAGTGCTCCAGGTCTGGGGAGAGCAGCTCTTAAAATTTGGGATAAGAACTTCTCAGATGAGTTTGCAGCATGAAATCCTGCACTGTTTACCTTCTCCTACCTTCTGCCCCAATCTTTGTCCTACGCACTGCAGTCCGTGTTTGTTCAGAGCTATGGTCAGTGTGTGTGTAACATCTCGTGCTCAGCGTTTTCCATGTAACTGTTAATATAAACATTTCCACATGTTGGCATGACCTGAATACTTGTCAGTGTTAGGATGAAATGCTAGTTTGAAGGTTAGGGCATCGAGATTGTTTTCTATTCCTCATGACTGTGGATGACAATGAGTGCCTTGGAGCACACAACTCTTCCTCTTAGTTATTTCCTTGGAGACATACACTGAGTGGCAAGATTATTATGATCTCTGAATGCATAATAATCTGGCTACTCAGTGTGTGTGTGTGTGTGTGTGTGTGTGTGCGTGTATTAGAGGCCCAGTGCATGAATTTGTGCATGGGTGGGGTCCGGCCAGCCTGGCCACAGGGAGGAGACATGGGTGGTTGGCCAGCCTGCCTGCTAGTCGAGGGGACAATTTGCATATTAGCCTTTTATTATATAGGAGGATGTACACTGAGTGGGCAGATTATTTCAGAGATCATAATAATCAGTGTATATGCAAGTTGCATTACTATGTCAAAGGGTAGGGACAATTTTGTGACATACTAGGAGATGACTCTCCAGAAAAAGTGAAGTAATTTACAGTGTCCCAAGCAATCTATCCATGTACCTGCTTCTCTATGTGGGTGATTTATCACCTGAATTTTTGTTAGTTTTAGAAAAGCTCTAAACTAGGGCTTCAGTCATTCATGGAGAAACTGATGGTGTGTGCACTATCCATGCCACATTTAAAAATATGTATTCTTCTCTTTTATTAAATTTAAGGGCATTGGGCCCTAGCTGGTTTGGCTCAATGGATAGAGCGTCAGTCTATAGACTGAAGGGTCCCAGGTTCAATTCCAGTCAAGGGCACGTACCTAGGTTGCAGGCTCCCCACCCTACTTGCAGGAGGCAACCAATCAATTCATCTCTCTCACAGATTGATTTGAGAGAGACACATTTGGGTTAACCCGTCAAGGTCCTATGGCTAGGAAGTGGCATGGGTGTGAGCTGAACCTAGGACCTTACACACGAAGCTATTTTGCCTCCCTAATGAAGCATGTCTAGCAATTCTTCCTTATAATCACCTTGTATATTACACAGGATAAACTGGTGTTTCTTTCTGTCTCTTCCCCTCCCTTCCCCTCTTTCTAAAAATTAATGGAAAAAATAACCTTGGGTGAAGATTTTTAAAAAATTTAAGGACATTGGAAAAAACAGTAAGATGAAGAGAGGGGAACGCAATTTCCCTGGACCTGATTCCTCCCTCAAGGAGACGTGAATTCGCTGTCCGAATTTGGTGTTTATCCTTCCTATCTTTTCTGCACAACTTCTTATGCATGAAAGGACTCTGCACATACACTTTAGTATCTTCTTTTTAATGGTTCCATGACACAAGCCTTTCCCTAGATTATTTTTTTTTTAAAGTAAATATACCTCTCGCCCCCCTCAGCCAGTTGCCCCACGCCAGCCTCTCTCAAAGGCAGGCCTCGCCTTTGCCAAGGCTGCAAGTCTTTCCTGTCCACAGATTCTGTGGTGAAGGAATCTGAAGAGCCCTCTTGTCAATGTCCCCTCCTCTCTGCAGAAGTAAACATGTCCTTGTCCTCCTCGGGGCCGCGCTGTTCTTGGCATCTTTCACTGCAACTGCTTTGCTCACGCTGGCTCATGACCTCCCCGTGGCAGCTCCGTCAGAAGCAAGGTAACCGTTCCCAGCCTGCCCGGCTCTGTGCCTTGCCTGGCCTGGGCACAGCCAGGACCTCCCAGGGAGGACTGGGGACGAATGCCAGGCTGTTTGCACTGTGCCCAGCGGCGTGTGGAAAAACCGGTGGGGCATGTTCAGCTCGGATGGGAAAGTTGATGGCACTTTTGTTTCCAATCTTCTGAACCTTTTCAACTGGCCCCAAGTGCTTCTCGGAGGAAAGGAGCGCCCCCACGTGGCTGTCTTGTGTTTCTCTTCCAGTGGCCAACTGCTGCTGGGGGGACTCTGTTGTTGGAGAGTCTGAAACTTGAGGAAGTTGGGGTTACCCCTTCAAGGTCACAAGGCATACATGTGAGCTGAACCTGGGACCTTATGCACGAGGCTACGTTGCTTCCCTAATGAAGTATGTCTTTATGACCACACAGGATTAACTTGTGCCATTACCTGCTGATCTATTCTCAGTGCAGCAGTCAGTGATGCAAATGAAAATCAGATCCTGTCAGTCATCTACTCAAGTTCCCCCAATCACCATCCATTGCTCTCAAAGCAGAATCCCTGTCTGACCTCACCCGTCACTCCCCTATTTGCTGACGCTGGACCAGCCACACTGACCTCCTTACTTCCACACACCAACGATGCTCCCTCCTCAGGGCCTTGGCACTTGCTGCTCCCTGATACCGGAATGCTATTCCTTTAGAGCACATGTGTCAAACACAAGGCCCGCGGGCCAAATCCGTCCCGCCAGGCCTTGCAATGTGGCCCGCACCGTGCTGTCATCACTGCACTCCGCTGCGTTTCCATCACAATGACAGTTTATGACTGTTCAGTAAACCATTCGGCCCGCGATTTAGGCTGGATTTTAGATTTTGGCCCCTTCTCTGATTGAGTTCGACACCCCTACTTTAGAGTCTGCATTTGGCAGGGCTTGTTCCTTCACTTCCCGCAGGTGTTTGTGTAAATGTTACCTCAGAGCAGCGTTAGCTGGCCACCTGATGTAAAATAGCCCAGAGCATTCCCTGGCACATTATGTATTTGTGAGGGAGATGAATGACTATTCTGTAGGCCTTTAACCCTCCCATCCCCACCCCCTTATTGATTTTTAGAGAGAGAAGAAGGGAGAAGGATAGAAAGATAGAAACATCCATGAGACAGAAACATCATTAACCGGCTTCCCCCTGCATGACCCCTTCTGGGGAATGAGCCTGCAACTCGGGCATGTACCCTGACCAGGAATTGAACCCCTGATCTCTTGGTTCCTGAGTCAACACTCAACTGCTGAGCCACACTGGCCAGAACACCCTAGGTCTTTTAACCAGGGGAGCATCGTGCCCTTCCGTCATGTCACTGTCTTCTGTGGACGTGGCCAAGTGACAGAGAAGAGGCTGTCACCTCCTATGGTCCCCTCTTCCCCAGTGGCTCTCAGCTCTGAATGTACACGAGAGTCCCCTGGGGCCTTTTAATTCCCACTGATGCTCCCAGAAAGGGCCACCTCAGACCAGTGGAATCAGGCAATTGAATTCTGTACGAACCCTCAGGAAGGGATTCACTTCTTTCAGAAGTGGTTCACTTCTGAGAACCATGTTTTTCAAGTCATCCTGACGTACCAGCCACCGGAAATAACTTTTGAACATGAAGGCCACTGTCCTATTTCCTTGGGATTCAGGGAAGAGGGGCCCAAGGCAATTTGGAATCTTAGCAAGCCAGCTGTGGCCCACAGCAGGATCACGAGGCCCCTGTGTGGGTCGTTACTTTAGGAAATGAACAAAGGTACCCCAGATTTCACTTTGGGTCGGTTGAGGGCTTCCATGGGCATCTGAGAGACTCTCTTTTTTAGGTTGAGATCAAACTTAGCCTTTTGTCTTATTTCCTTTGTTATCCAGTGAAAATGCGACTGTGCTGTATTTTTTGGAGTACTACACTAAGCCATATTGCAGATTCGGGCCATTCCTTGTGGGCATCTTTCTGAGCATTTTCATGCACCAAAACCACCAGGCAAACATTCTCAAAACCAAGGTGAGCTTCTTTTTCTCAGCAAACTTTCCTTTAAACATGACCTGAGTGCCACTGAAGTGACAAAAACAGCACAGGCCCTGTGTCCCCCTCACTCAGGTTCCCCCACTATAGTCCATCGTCACAACCAAGAAACTGACATGGCGTCCTGTGCACTCACTTATGTGTGGGTGACAGGGCTGTGCATCTGTGTGACCACCACCACAGTCAAGGCACAGGACTCGTCTGTCACCACAAACACCTGCCTTGTGCCACCTCTCCATGGCCATCCCCCACTCCGCTACCCCGCCCCAACCCTAAACCTCACAACCACTAATCTGATCCTTCCATTTAGTCAGATGTGGGTACTGATTGAGGTTTATAAATAGACACCTAGCGGGACAGTAATAGTACAAAAAGAAGAAGTTTGTGTAAAGAAGTAAACTTTGCACAGTGGCCCCAATGGGCTGTAAGTGGCATCGTTCCCTGTCCTGTAGGTGCAGGCTCTGCTCGGATGGATTTGCTCTCTTTCCATGCTGTTCGCCGTGGTCGCTGTGGTGTACGCATTGGACGACACCTCTGCCACCCGTTCCATGGCCGCTGCTGTCTACCAGGCCATGCACCGGAGCCTGTGGGCGGCGGCCGTGGGCTGGGTTGTGTTCGCATGTCACGAAGGCTATGGAGGTATGACGTTTGTGTGCTCGCACTGGCCCTTCAAAGGTGACACATGTGAAGGCAGTGTGCCCAGAAGGGCTTTGGTTTGCTGGGGAATGAGTCTGAAACCTCCACTCGTCTGCATCCTTGGGGAAAACCCACATATTCTGTTTGAGATTGTACACCGGCTTCTGTACAAATGCAGGTGCTGGAGGAAAATGTGCAGCCTCTCCAATGAAGCTGGTTTAGAAGTTGGAAGAGAGAAGGCAGGGTCATGAGGAAAGCAACCCAGTGCAGGGCACATGAGTTCTGGGGGTGCCCGCCCAGGCCTCGGTTTACTCATCTGGGAGAAGAAACAGAACAGCCACCGAGGTCCCCAGGAGACTGCTCCTGCTGAGCCAGGCCTCACCTCTCAGGAAATCACGCAAAAAGGGGGCTTCAGTGGAAAGAAAGGATTTGTCCAGATTACAAGTATCTGTGCAAGCCACCGATGTTCCTGCCCTTTCTCTCTACTTGGCACATGGTGGGAACTGGGTGCTGAGGTGTCAGCAAATGACAAGACTAGTAGATGAATGTGGGGGGGAGGGCGGGGGTGGGTGGGTTAGATAAATATTTAGAAAACGTGTGTCCACGTAACGAACTTCAGAAAGGTATATCTAGAAAAGAACGTTTGAAGAAGAGTTTAATTCAGACGCTCAGGACGAGAAGGGATCTCAATGGCTCGAGCCGCCTTTTCCATCTTCAGTCATTGCCAAAACTGACGGTGCTGGTCCTGCTTCGTTCAAGGCCTGATTCTGTTGAGTCGCCCATGTTACGCCTTTAGTTGAAACCTTCCCGTGGTGCCCCATCACCAACAGCAGTGACCCTCAATCTCGAGTAGTAGATGGACCCGTTCTCAAGGAATAAGAATCCTTCGGGACCCAAGTTATGGAATATTTGTCCTGAAAGGGAGCCTGAAGTTGATCGAATGCAAGCTGCTCAATAATGGACGAAGACTCTGAGGCTGGCATGTCCACTGTCTGGTCCCAAGGCTTGTGTAGCTGCACCCGAAACCAGGCCCAGGCCAGTGACAGGACTCCGCCCCTGGTTACACATACAGATGCTCTGTGCTCAGGGGTCAAATCTGCAGTAAGGAAGTGAATTGACCGTGAACTCAGTATTAGCATTTCTTATATTTTCATGTTTCTACAAGAGGAAGTTGGGTGGTTTGTTTGGGGGGGCGGGGTGTATCCCCTTAAAAATGATAATGAACGGAGACCTTCTTAGAAAGAGTCCACAGACTTAGGAGCGGCGATGACTCTCCGTGCCTGTTCCTGGCAGGTCCAGTGAACCGGCTGCTCTCCTGCAGAGTGTGGAGCTTCCTGGCCGGCATCAGCTACGCCTGTTACTTGGTGCATCCGATCGTCATCATCCTCTACAATGGCCTCCAGGAGACGCTCATTCACTACACGGACACCAACATGGTGAGTCTTTGCTCCCGGCTCTGCCACATCGCGGCTGTTCTCTCTGGGGCAGCAAAGCCAGCCCTCCTGGCTTTGTCAGGAGCCTGCTGTTGTGGCTGGGAACCTATTGTTCTTCGTTTTGTTTGAGGAAGGGCTTCTGCACAGGATAATATCTTTGCTTTATTTATTTTATTTTTTAGTGTTCAGGGCTGTTTGTCTACAGATCCATTTCACACAGCCGGGATGGTACACTTTAAGATCCAAACACAAGAGGACTCTTATAGTATGAGTGTGCCCACGGTGCCCCTCTTCCTCTGCAGCTCTATCTTTTCTCCGGGCACTGTTTGCTGACCTTCCTCGCTGGGCTGGCCCTGACGCTCTTCATTGAGAAACCATGTCAGGAACTGAAGCGGTACCTTCTGGGATCCATGCCTGAAGGGCCAGGAACGGCCTAGTAAGACCCCAAAGATGGGGAGGCCCGTTTTTTGTGGTGAAGGGCAAAAGCAGGGGTGGCCTCGTTTATGTAACAAATGCATGAGTTTCTGAAAAGGAGTGTGAAGGTTATTTTGTGGATATTTATAGTATAAAGTTCCCTGTATTTAATCTATAAAAGAGTTATTTGTATTTAGCATATAAAGGAGTTCTATGATGATCTGTTTAGTAGCATAATAATTAACCTTTGATGTGTTTTTTAGCAAAAAAAAAAAAATCTGGATATTTATGGTCTCATCCTGTATTTATTTTCTATATTAGTGATCACAGAAAAACATCAAATATAGTGAAGAGGATATAATTTGGATTAACATGCTTACTTTCTTTATTAAAATCACACTGTATCTTTCCTCATCGCAGTAGTTTCTGTGTTGGTCTCATACCTTTGTAGACTCATAACTTTTTCTTGAACTCTCAGGATGGTGTGACTTACTAGCGAGCATAATTCATGGGTATGTTGTTACAAGTCTTCCAAACGTTATCTTCTCTATAACATGGTCTCTGTGACTGGTTAATTTGTATCTCCCCCCTCCACCTCCCAAAAATGTGAAATTCTAATCCCCCTAGTATAATAGAATGTAGCCTTATTTGGAGATAAGGTCTTTATAGCGGTGATAAGTTAAATGAGGCCATGGGTGGGGCTGGCCCTAATCCAATATGACTTGTGTGCTTCTGAAAAGGGACATCTGGCCCCAGAGATGGAAACATGCAGGGGAGATGGGGTAAAGGGAGAAGATGGCCTTCTACAAGCCAAGGAACCCCCAGGTGGCTGCCAAACAAGCTAGATGCCCCCAGGAAGGCTTCTGCCCGGAGCCCTCTGGGAGAGCATGGGCCTGAGACCCCCTGGTTTAGGATTTCCAGCCTTCCAGAACAATGAGGCAATAGCCTTTTGTTGTTTGAAATGACTCCTAGCAAATTGACATCATCCTCCAACAAAAACTCCCAACGGAGCCCTGGCCTGTTTGGCTCAGTGGATAGAGCATTGGCCGGTGAACTGAAGGGCCCCAGGGTTTGATTCTGGTCAAGGGCACATGCCCGGGTTGTGGGTTTGGTCCCCAGCTGGGGGTGTGCAAGAGGCAGCCAATATATGGTTCTCTCTCATCATTGATGTTTCTATCTCTCTATCCCTCTCCCTTTCTTTCTGAAATTATATATATATATATATATATATATCCCCCAAACGGAGATTTGTGAGGCCAGATGGAGAACCTGGAGGTCCAGGTTTCCTCCTGAGCATGTAATTTCACATTAACCACCCCTACATACATGTCTAATGATGCTTATAACAACACTCTGTGTCCTTAATAATCGAAAAATTTAATAAAAATCAAAAGGCTACAGGGAGCTTATTAACTCATATTGCTTGCTGCTCCCCCTTCACCTCCCCTGGTGTATGTCCTCTACCCTCAAGTGGCTATTCAAGGAGGACCACTGAGGGGCAAGGGGTTGTAAGCCTCAAGTCCTTGGACAGAGTGATGGAGAGCTACCATGTCCTTTCCCAGCCAGCCTAGGGGAACGAGCCACATCTCCCTGAGGCCTGGTCTCTTCTGCCTGCAGAACTGGACCTGAAGAAGGAGACAAGCCGCACCCTGGCGCGTTCAGTCTGGAATAAAACGCACCAAGGTGGGCTTTGGAGAAACTCAGACGTTTATCGAGTTCCTTGGGAGCCCCCTGGTGGCTGATTCGACACATGAACATCTGACTTAATTAGACCTCAGAGGAGATGGTGAGTAGTGAGGACAGGAGGCATTTACCCGAGAACATGGCAATCCAGAAGGTCCCCAGCAGGGAAAAGACTCGCCTGCCAACCTTGCTGGGCATGCAAACTGCCAAGTGCTTCCAGTTATGAGGCTAAAAACCCGGGCCCTTGGAAATAGCTTCACAATTACTACCATAGCCTTCAGGAGGCCTCTTTTATAAGGGAAATAATAATAATAATAATAATAATAATAATAATAACAACAACCTCCTCACGATTGCAACTTTATCAAACAAAATTGTGATATAGACGTTCAATTCTGTTCTAATTTTGTTTCAAAACATTATTCAACACAGAAGTTGAGGATTTATAGCCTGTGTGGACCTTACTAACTTGGGTTCTAAAACAAACTAAAAAAAAAAGCATGTAACGTTTATGAGACAGGGGGACATTTGGACACTGCCTGGTGTTTGATGATATTAAAGACTTACTCATTTTTTAATGTGATAATGGTATTGTGGTTGTTTTATTTTTTAAAGAAAAGCCCTTATATGTTAGATGCATACAGAAGTATTTATGGAAAAATGGCATAAAAACCTGGTATTTACCTCAAAATAACATTGGCAGGAAGTGGGACAGAGGAAACAGGTTGGTGATGTAGTTATAATTTGTTAATGGGACCTCATTATATTATTTTATCCATTTTTGTATGTGCTTGAAGCTTGTCTAACAATAAAGTAAAACACAGGCAGCAGGATCAGCATAGATAAAGCACCACTTGATGGGCACCTCCTCTAATTCTTCCTAAATCCTGAAATCCATGGCCCATCTCCACATACCAGCCTGTGGGTACAAATAGTCCCGTCAACAGTATGGGATCCCTCCTGCACCCGGATGGGAAGGAACTCTGCCACCTTCAGTTCCTCCCAGTGGTTCGGGGGAGTCCAGGGATGTCTCGCTTGCCTGGTGGACCTGGGCTCTGCCATTTCCTTCAGCGTGAACTGGCTCTCCTCACCCACACCTGCTCTGCCATCAGGGCTGCTGAGCGCTGCTGGCAGGGGCCAGTGTCTCCTGCCCACGCCAACGTCCCCACGCTGTTCTCCCAAGCACACCGCCTTCTTCCGTGACTTCTTCAGGCAGGATGTGGGCTGGGCTGGCTTGGTGCTCTGGCCACAGTGTCCACTCAGAGCACAAATGGTCTCCACAAATGCCACAGCGGAGAAGACCCCTCTTTCGGGGGCCTGATGCAGCAGGGATCTCCCTTTTCCACGTCCCGCACGGAAAGAGAGATGAACGAACTGATTCTAAGTTGAGGTGGCCAGGGATTGAGAAATATTAGAAATAAAGAGAGAAGACACAGAGATAGATTTAAAGCTGGGAGCTGGGTGGGCTGCCATACTGTCTGCTGGGGAGACAGGAAGACAACAATGATGTGACCCCTCCCAGCACATTTATTTCATGCCCCCAATATCAGGCAGTTATCACCAACTTATTTGCATTCTTAAGTAGGCCCTAGCATGCCTGGATTGACATATCTAGTCCTGGCCCTGCCGACTCCTGGGCTGATATGAAGGCCAAGCTGACAATATGTCACCCATTTTGGGGAAACCTGTCTCCAGGGCGTCGCTCTGCCTACGCCTTGAGTTCAGCTGATGATAATTAAGGAGAATTGCCCAAGTGCCTTCCCAGGCGGGTCTCTACACCCTCTGGCCACACTAATGACACCGGTGCTTTCTCATTCAGGCTCAGGGTGCTTGTCCTGGTCTTACAGAAGCTGCTCTAGCAGGTTTCCATCTAACATTGGCCTGTCTTTTCTGGATTCACTGAGAGATGGAGGATGGGCCTTGACTGAGAGTGAAAAAGGAACACGAAACTTTTCATTATATATAATGAACATTCCAATGGGTGCAGAGAGAGGGCAGCATGTAAAGAACCCAGATGCAGAGTTCTTTGTTAGAAAATATGCAAAGAGAAGCAAGGAGGAAGAAAGGGAAGGTGTGTCAGCTTCAGCACATGAAATGAGGGATGGAAAAAGGTTTCTCTTTGATGTATTATGTTTTAATCAGAATTAGAATTGGAACAGGCGGGGACTTTAAGGAAATCTATTCAATGACATGTTTTGGGTGTTATTTTGTTTTTAAAATGTTACTTATAAATTATAGTTTGCATTCAATATCACTTTGTATTTGCTTCGATGACATCATTTTACAGTGAGGCAGCTGAGGCTCTAAGTTCACATGCTACCTCCCCAAGTTCACACACCAGCCATCATGGAGCCAGGACCGACCTGTTCTTCCTGCTCAGCGATATGGGCAGGATGGAGGTGCAAAATAAAATACACGTACTACACACAGACGTGTAGAGGTATATGTATGCATATGTACATTTATGCATAAATACATACTCATATGCATAAACCCATTCTCTTTCTTAGTTCCCAAATTTTCTCTTTAACAAAGTATAAAAAAATCAATATTATTTATCTTGATCACTTCTCTTACCTCTTCTGTGCACAGATCATTGATAAAGCAGCAGCCATGAAAGCAATGGTTTTGCCCAGCCAGCTTGGTTCAATGGTTGAGCATCGACCTATGAACTAGAGGTCAGGGTTCAATTCCCAGTCAAGGCACATGCCCAGATTGTGGGCTCCATCCCCAGTAGGGGCTGTGCAAGAAGCAGCTAATCAGTGATTCTCATCATTGATGTTTCTATCTCTCTCTCCCTCTCCCTTTCTCTCTGAAATCAATAAAATATATTTTTTTAAAAAAGCAATGGTTGTAATCATTTGGAAACATCTAAGTTTGGCAAACCTGCAGCACCTTTCCCCCCTTCGGTGGGAGCAGTCAGTTCCTGGGCTCTGTTCCCTTTGATTTGAAGAAATAGATGTGCAGACTCCAGAACACCTTAGCAGCATATGTTCAGGCGACCACAAGAGGGCAGCACTTAGGGATCAGTGCCGGACCCCAATGCCTTGTTGAAACTCACCTGAAGCTTGTTGAACTGTGAATTACAAGAGCCAAAGAGTAAAGAGTATTCATGTTTTCCTCTTAAATGGCCAGACTACTGGGAAATTTCAAATGTCATGAGGACCAGAATAGGTTTCCACTTAATCCTTGGGAAATATAACAATGATTTCTAATCTAATATATGTTCTTTTCAATGGAAACCAACTTACATCTTTGCAGTAATTTCCACATCCTTCCTTCTGAGGAACTTGAAATGAACCTTATGTTCCATTCATTTCTTAGCTGTTAAGATGAGGACTGCCTGTCCGACTTGCCCTCAAAGTTCTTGCATTAGATAAATGCCACCCCCACCCAAGCTGAAGGCAGTGCTGGGCCTCATCTCTGTGACTGAGGTCTCTTTGGGGGGTGCTGGCATTCTGGGTCAGAGGTCAGCTAGGAGAACCACTCAGCAACAGGCTGCTCTGGGGTCCCAGGATTTCTGATCAAAGCCATCTCGGGGGAGTGCAGACATAGCACACACATGAGGACAGACATGGAACCCGCACACACTTTGGAAATGAGGAAGAGCCGAGAGCCTCCTGGGACCATTTTGATGCCCGCTGCACAGCACTGCTAGCAGGCTGACTTCCACAGTCTCTTCTGGAAACTGCCTTGTGCCTCCTTGGGTGTTGAACGGAGAGCCACAGCCTTGAGAGGAACCCTCCTCAGAAGCACAGGGAGACAGCAGTGCAGAGTGATGGGGTAGCACTGGCTAGGGCGGAGTCTCTACCTTTATCTAAGCTAGTCTTCCTCTCCAGTGTGGTGCTCAGACCACAACCACCAGCAGCAGCAGCTGCAGCAGCAGGAATTTGTTCGAAATGCAAATTCTCAGTTTCCAGCCCAGAACCCCAGCAGCATGAACTGGAGGAGGGGCCCAGCCGTTTCCCCAGTCCCCTGGGAGTTCTGGTGCAGGCTCAGGTGTGGCAAGCATCATCGCATGGCTGCAAAGCCAGCTGAACTTGAAGTGAGTTATAGAGGAAAGGAGAGCAAGACTGTAGAAGAAGTAAAAACAGAGAAGGAAATATTTTTTGAGCAAGCATAGAGTGAAAGAGCATCCCCTACCCTACCTGGTATGTGAGAAAACCATGGACATTATCAGCAACTTAATACCTATTTAGAGCAGTGATTTTCAACGGGTATGCCCAAGATTTTTAAAACCTGCAATACT